TTATGATCCTACATAGGTGGCTTACGGAAGCAAAAAAAAATCTCAAGTGCCCAAAAATCAAGTCTTCGTTCAAGAAGACTGCGGATTTGCTAGTTATACTTCTCATAACAAACATTTTGTGCAGCTGCCTAATATTCCCCCTAGAGATCTCATGTCAGAAAGCACAAAAAGCAACACAAAATTAGAAGAATCTGCCTTCTTCGGTGTTTTATACTAAATTATTTCTAAAAAACTAGCGCTTGTTGAAGGCTATCACAATTTGTTCCTTGCAGATAAATTATTTATTCCACTAAGTAATAAATATTTTTTGGTTTGTTGTATACATATCATTGAATATTTGGGTTTGGGAAAAAAGCTAATGCAGTCAAAATAAATCACAAGTAGTGCTGACATGCAGCGATTCAATCCATCGTAGTAAAGTAATCACAATACGTGCATCATGGGAAAAGAAGGGGGATAAACTGAAGTAATGAAATGTAGGGCTTGACAATCGTAAACGGGAAGTCCCACTCAGGGAGGGAAAGGCACCGATGCGACTGGTAGCAGAAACATTCTACAAATGATCACAACGTATCGAGGTTTAACCACCTCGTGTGTAACGTAAGGCCACTCTTGATATATGGAAACATGAAACACAAAACAAATGAGGAGAAAGTCTATTTTTTATATATGGGAATGGACACGTAAGAAATTTGCGCCCTAGAATGAAAATAAAAATCGATGCATGCGTACCAAGTGAGCAAGAAGATAGGGGAAAATGTTTGTCATTTGTCACCTAAAGAATGGACAGCTGAGGGTGTATCGTATTCTTTTCGGCCCTCATTGGGCCTCCTCTCTTAGCTCCATCGGCTTTCCGAGGGCGACGAACTGGCATGTCACCGGCAGTGACGCCCGAAAGAACGGACGCGTCAATTCCGCACGCAGCCAACTGCTCAGCCAGCTTGCGCTGTAGAGCCTCGAGCTGATCAGGAGACAGCACATCTGATTGCATTTGGATGCCTCCACTGACGATCTTCGCTACTGGAGCTGCTTTTGCAGGCGGTGCTGGTTTTTTCTCGTCTGAAACCAAGTGATAAAAGAAGTTAAACTTTTTTT